AGTTAACAATACAAAAAATGCCGTGTGCGGTGAATAATAAATAACAAAGGTTTAAAAAATTGACCGTTCAGTAATCTACAATCTCCAATATGGTCAATCATTTTTTCCTTATGTTTGTCCTTGCAAGCCTAAAAACAGAACAGTTTTTCAATTGTTTACGGATATCCTTAAGTACGGTAGAAGTAAACAAAACTAGCAAAATAATGTGTTCCAAATTTTTAACACTCACAGCTTGACCTGTATGTAACGGGTGATTTTTTAAGAGGTATAGGATTTGATTTTCAAAAAAAACACAAAAAATTTGAAAAAACGATTGAATCTTTATTTGAGTCGATAGAACGGTCGATATAATTTAATGTTTAAAGATTATTTCATGTAAATGTTGGCCGCGGCTCCGCTTTAGATGGCCCATGCTGAAGGTCCAATTTTGGCACAGTCTCTCCAACATATCGGCCGGTGTCTCACGAATAAATGCTTCAATATTGGCTTCCAGTGCTTCAATCGTTGCTGGTTTATTCCTGTAGACATTAGCCTTATCATGGCCACACAAGAAATAGTCCAACGGCGTTAAATCACACGATCTAGGCGGCCAATTGACGGGCCCCAAACGTGTGATAAACTGTTCACGGAACTCGCCTCTCAATAGGGCCATTGTTTCGTGTGCGGTGTGGCATGTGGCACCGTCTTGTTGAAACCACATGTCAGCCAAGTCCAGCTCTTCCATTTTGGGCAAAAAAAAGTTTGTTATCTTCGCACGGTAGCGCTCGCCATTCACAGTTACGTTCCGGCCATTGTCGTCTTTGAAGAAGTACGGCCCGATGATGCCACTGGCCCATAATCCACACCAAACAGTAATTTTTTGGGATGCATTGGTAGCTCTTGCAATGCTTCTGGCTGGTCTTCACTCCAGATGCGGCAATTTTGCTTGTTAACGTACCCATTCAACCAGAAATGAGCTTCGTCGCTGAACACAATTTTTCGATAAAAATGTGGATCTTCCTCCAACTTCGCCAACGCCCATTCACCAAATTGGAAACGTTGTGGGAGGTCGTGTGGCTTCAATTATTGCACCAGCTGAATCTTATAAGGTTTTACACCCAAATCCTGTCGCAAAATTTTCCACGTAGTGGAGTAACAGAGGCCCAATTGCTGCGAACGGCGACGAATCGACATTTCACGGTCTTCACTAACACTGGCAGATACAGCCGCAATATTTTCTTCAGTCCTCACTCTACGTCTGCGTGTTGGTGGTTTAATGTCCAATAACGTAAAAGGGTTCGAAATTTAGTCACAAGCTTCCGAATAGCTCCCTCAGTAGGCCGACCAAATTGCCCATAAATTGGAAGCAGCGCTCGATGCACTCTCTTAACCGAGCATGAACTTTGATAGTAAAATTCAATAATTTGCAAGCATTGTTCGTTCGTAAGTCGATTCATGGTTAAATTATAGACCAAACTGAACAAGTTTGACAATGACACAAGACACGATTCACGCGTCATCTGTCAAAAACAGTGTTGCCAAAAAGATACTAGCAAGAAAATCACCCATTATTTTTAACCTAATATCACCTATTACGAGAAGTCTGATTAGCTCGAAAATTTGCACAGGTGACAAGTGCGGATGACAATACAATAATCTTGGAAAGAAAATTGAATTTCAATATTTTTTAATAATTCGAATTTCGAATTTAAATAAATTGGATTTGAACATATGGAAAATCCAAAAATTTTAAAAATATTCGTAGGATTTGGAAATTTAAATAATACTAGAAATTTGGAAATTTGAAAAAAAAAAGAAAGCAAAATTATATTTATTGTCAAATCGAAGCTCTTGATTATAAGTACTGTTATCTTGACTCTGTACTTCCTATGTATCTGTTCATGAGGATTATGTTTTCAGTACAATTTAGAACCTCTGAGAAAAAAGGTAGTCTAACGGGCCATACAACTAGTCCATAGACATTCCCTGCCTTACCGGTAGAGCATCTGGAAAAATCGCCTCTCCCAGATACCTAACTCGGTCAGACGTGGCAAAGTCGAAGCGCGGTCAGAGCATAGGAAACCCTATGCTATGCAAATTTAGCACGTTCGCGACGTCGTGACGCACCGGTGGGTCATTATGGTTTTTAGGTTAGTGACATCAGAAAAATCAACATGTTATTAGAAAAAGACGGTAATAACAGTTTTTATTATAATAATATTTTTTACTAATTTTGTGTCAATAAATGTTTTTTTTTGCTTTCCCCATTCTACTTTTGAGCATGACCCACCGGTGGGTCACGTACGTTCATTAGTAATAATTTTACTTTAGGGACGTCATGACCCACCTGTGGGCACAAATAAAAGTTAGATTTTCAGTTTCAAACCTTACATTTCAATTCTTTCTGCAGATAATTTTCAAATAAGAAGCTGAAATGAGTTCCAGGGCCCGCAAAATATTGTCTTTAGCATTACCTGAAGCTGAAGAAGTGCAAGACCCAATACCGGTTTCATCATCCAAGATAGCAACATCTTCAACGCCTCTACAGATTTCACAATTGTACCATTCGCAACAGCCTCACCAAACACTGCCGCAAAGCTCATCCACCCTGAAACATAAATCGCCATCACCACAACCATCGACATCAAAAGCTCAGACCAGACAGAAGGAGACCATTACTTATTATTTCTCATCTTCAGAATCGGACAATGATTTACTTGTCACAGAAACGTTAGATGAGGAGGATAGCAGCTCTTCAGATTCTTCTGCGGAGGATGATCTTCCAGACATTACAGCAAATTCTGAACAATGGGGACCCTGCACCAATTTGCTTGTAAACAATTTGCAATTTACTGGACAAGGGGGACTAAAGAAACCAGATATGGGCCTATCCAATCCTTTTGCTATTTATAAGCAATTTTTAACTGATGAAATGTTAGATATAATGCAGGTAGTACTAGAAACAAATAGGTATGCAGCACAACTTATTTCGGCTAAGCCAATTCGTCCCAGATCATTACTGCATAACTGGATGGATACAACAAAGGAAGAAATACGAAAGTTTGTGGCTATTTTAATACTAATGGGAATAAACAAGTTACCTCAAATGCGTCTTTATTGGTCTAACAAAGATATGTTCAGCAATGTGTTCATAAAAAGACTAATGACGCGTAACAGATTTGAGGTGTTACTTAGATGTCTGCATTTCTCAAATAATAACGATCCCGCAGCTCAGAACGACAGGCTTTTTAAAACCAACAACATTTTGAATTTATGTTGTAAGCAGTTTCAAAACACCTTAGAACCGAACCAAGAAATTGTTATCGATGAAACGATGATCCCTTGGCGGGGCAGATTTGTCTTCAGACAATGTCTGCCCGCTAAATCGCATAAAATTTATAAAGTATGTACTCCCGAAGGATATGATCTGAAAGTGTACGCTGGAAAAAATGACGCCAATCCTGTAGGAGCCAACAGAACTGGGCATACTTACCAAGTTTGCAAGGAACTGCTTGCCGCCTTAAAAAATTGTGGACGAATTTGGTATGTTGACAATTTTTATACCAGTGTGGCACTCCGTAAAGACCTCCTAGGTTGCCAAACGAACGTTTGTGGTACTTTAAGAAATAACAGAAAAGGTAACCCAGAAAGTGTGACCAAAAAAAATAAAGAAAGGAGATGTGTAAGGCGAAGAGAATTCAAGTGGCATACGGGTGATAAAATGGGTGGATAAACGCCCAGTACGTATGCTTAGTTCGGTACCAGACCACACTGATAGACTAGTTCCGACAGGAAAAAAAATCGCAAAGGCGAAGACATTAAGAAGCCTCCTGCTATCATTGCTTATAACAATGCAAAAAAGGGCACCGTGGACATCTCCGATCAGATGTCCTCCTATTACACCAGTCTCAGAAAATCCTTAAAATGGTAGAAAAAGTAGTTTTTGAAGTCTTATTAGGAACCTGTGTGGTTAATGCGTGGGTAATTTATAATTCCTATGGCACTTACCCTAAAATAAATATGCTTTGTTTCCGAGAAAAAATTGTTGAAGGACTAATAGCAAGCATGGACACCGAAGTGGAAGAAGCTGAAGTCAATACTCCGGCGCCAGTTAGTAGAAGTAGAAAAAGATGCGCAGAATGTTACAAAAATATCCAGCAAGAAAAGGGAAGTAAAGTGGCCAGAGTTAAGGCAAAAAAAGTGCAAACAATCTGCGAGGATCGCGAAAATCAACCGACGATGTGCTTATGGTATGCTTCAAAAAATTTCATGATTAGTTTCGTTTATTCTATTCTATAGCATGTATAATTAATTTTTTTGCTACTATCCAGAAATCCAATGATTTGTTTTAGTTTTAGAATTTATAGTTGTGTTTAATTAGTTTTTTACCAATAAAAATAAAAGAAAATTTGTTTTTGAAGCTATGGCACATAGCAACCCTGATATTCCGGGACCATCTTTTCGACAAGTAAGTACCTATACCCCCCAGGTCCAATATAAAAGCCCCCAGTATAGGCGTCAAGTTTCAAAACGCATTTAACATTATAGTAGGTGTGACCCACCGGTGGACACGGACGACTATTAGTAAAGGCCAGTGTGACTCACCGGTGGGTCACAAACGCTTATTTAGTAAAAAGCCGTGTGACCCACCGGTGGGTCACGATGTCGTGAACGTGCTAGCTAAAAACTAGGATATAATTTTCAACTAAAGGAGAGTTTGTATTGCTGTAATAGATACATTACGGTGAATTTTAGGGAGTTTGTTACATAACAGAACTTTTGCAAAAGTTGAAGCAATAATTTTTCGTTCAGATACTGATGAAGTTTTATCTCTAATCTCAACGAATTCGATTTACCGGGTTTTATTCGAGACCACTGATAGTTTAGATTTTTTTTTCTCTAGTCGAAATTTTTGATCTCGTTACCCGTTGTTTCAAGCTCGTGGAAGCCTTTACAATAGGGTTATTTGGAATGTTGAACATGTTCCGAGACATTTATGATTTCTCATTTTCTGTTTTCAGGAAACAAGTTCCTGTGCCTTGTGCTGGGGCTGTGCGCCTATTTTCCCTCATCTCAGACCAAAAGTAACATGAAGGTCATTTACAAATGGAGTTACTTAGAATACGAGTACAATACTGAAACTGAACGCAGAGCTGCCATAGACTCGGAAGAGTTCATCCCTGGAAAGGGAACACCAATAGATGTAAATGTTTTTTACGGACGTAAGTACACTTAGTAGATTGATAGCCTTCATAAAAATTTACTAGTGTCTCACTAATAGCTCAACAACCATATACGAGGACGGTCCGACAAGTATTTAGCCTACAAAAGCATTATCTTATTTAGAAAGGGCCCCCCTTCTAACCGAACTAAATGTTTGAAGGCTCAAAATTGCGTCAAAAATTGTCAAACGTTTTTCATAAGCAAATTCCAAAAAAAAATCGGTCCAAACAAAGTGTCTAAGCTTTTCGTGTTATTTTTATTGATAAAATTAATAAGACAGAAGATTCCTGTAATCGCTACAAAGAGCTCAGAAATTCAACTTTAAGTCAAATTAGATATGAAAAAGCAGCATATTTATTATCCCTCCGTCAACAAAATGATTCAAAAATGTTTTATATATCCTTAAAATCAATGCGTATCCAACGGTCACAAAATACTGATATTCCTGTACATTTAAAGAACCCTACTGACATTAATAATTATTTCTGTTCGATTCTTAATGACGTCATTTGTTCATGCACAGAGAAGATTGAGCATTACGAAAAGAATCACTATTCTAGTGATCGATTCAAATTTAAACCAATCGACATGACTGATATAAAATCGATGTTCCAGTCTCTGAAATCGAATGCCTTAGGAAGCGATGGCGTGTCACTCAGAATGCTAAAACTATGCTTCTTTGCTATTTCAGGTCACATTTTACACATCATAAATACCTGTTTAGAAAGGGGATTCTTTCCAAAATCATGGAAAGAAGCATTAGTGTTACCTCTGGCTAAAATAAGTAAGAGAAAATTATATTCTGATTTAAGACCAATTAGTATTTTACCTGTTTTGTCGAAATTATTAGAAAAATCAATGTACGCCCAAATTTACGATTATCTCTCTAAAAATAAAATTTTGCCTTCCAAACAATGCGGTTATCGAAAAGGATATAACACTGCAGGTGAACTATTAGACTTAACCGATAACATCGTTAGAGCCTGGGATCAACATACGATCACATCATTAGTTCTTCTTGACTCTAAGGCATTCGATACCATAAATCATCGTCTTCTAGTAGCCAAGTTCAAATATTCGTTTCTTCTGACTCTGACTAAAAAATGATTCAGAGCTTCTCAGGAAATCGATATCAAAGGTTACGCATTGATATGGTTCTATCTTCAAAGTGCCTCATTTCCTCCGGAGTGCCTCAAGGGTCTGTACTTGGACCATTCCTATTCATTTTGTATACTTCTGATCTCCACTCAGTTGTTAAATTTTATTAGTATGTAAAGACAGATGCAGAAATTTATTTTGAATAGAAGTGTATAAATTAGTTGATAAGATTTATCTGCCACCTCGTTTGTTTTGTATGACTGTTACAATTTTATCCTTTTAAATCATGAAATATTGAATAGCCTTCACTTATATATGTTATATACCATATTTTTTATACACCTACATTTCTTAACTTCTAACTTATCAAATGTATTTATATTTTTTGTATTGTTTTTCTTTTTTTGGGGGGTTTAAGTGATTTATTATTATTATTATTTTGAACAAAACATGCCCTTACGAACTTTTTTCCAAAGTGGAGAGATATATCGGTTTAATATTTGAAAAAGTGCGAAATATATAATATTCGACTCCGGAAAACATTTTTAATGTTGCCAAAAATAATCATCAACAAGGCAATACAAGCAGACTATTATTTTATTTATTTTACTTATTTATATAATACAATCTTCCATCAGACCCGAATAACAAGTATAGGAATAACTATAACTACAAATTGGTAAATTCGAAGTAGTCAAAGAGTAGAGTATGTCATCTACAATGAACACCATACACATTAAAAAAATATACATTCATAGACATTAATCAAGGCACATTCACAACACATTAAAATCACAACGCCTTAAAATCATAATGGCCGTGACAGATATTCATCAACTGTGTAAAATTGATGCTCAAGAATTATACTGGGGTGTAATACTGGACTTCGCTAAGATGTCGGTTCTTGGGACTTGGCGTAAACGTAAACAAAAAAGCCCAAATTATGGCCTATCTCTGTCGTCGGAAAGCCTCTAATTTTACGTCTTATCCATTCATCCGAGGGAATATTTCTTGCAACTATCATGATGTTTTGACTTCCAGATCATCCTAGTGAAAAGAAGATGTTCGTAACTATTCCAAGGTTCCAGAAAGGAGTCCCGTTTTCAGTAGGAACTGTGACGAACAGGACGAGGAATGGAAATCCTATAATCGCACCGTTCCCATCTTGGGACTGGTACCGAAACGTTGAAGCTTGTGGACCAAGGAGAATTGTATCTGTTTACAGAATAGCAGTAAGTAACACAAGCTTAAACTCTAATCTGAGACGTCAAAGTATGCACAAATATCGAGCACCATGCCGGTGGAGTAAGCAGCGTACGCCACTCTTAAGAGGCGTGTATTTGAGTACATCGAACCATGTACACAAACAAATTCCACGTTAGCAGTGGCGTTCGATGAGTTATGCTGGTCTTTTCAATTTCAAAAGCACTCGTTCAAATCAGTATAGTTAGTAAAACCTTTTTCCCTTCATGATCTCCATATTTTCAGATTGACAGATGTGGGAGGCTGTGGGTGTTAGACAATGGTGTTGTGCTGGACAAGAAGGTCTGCCAACCACAGATATTAGCTTTCGACGTCAGGACGGTAAGTTGTTTTGAGAATTCAATTATAATACATGAATAATAGTTATACAATCAATGATATGCGTATATTTAAGGGTGTGAATCTACATGAAAAATTAGTGTTAGTTTGCTTAATAAACTATGGTCCAAAAATGTTTAATTACAAAAACTCGGGGTGTTGAAGTTTTAGGAAAAAAGGGAAAATTAATTAATATTTTCAGAACCGCTTCAGATATTTCACTGATACGTAGTACGTAGTGACAGTTGACAAAGTTACATATTTCTCAATGCAAAAATAATTTTTAGCTTTAACAGTGACGTGCGTACAGGTATTGACTTCGATATTTTTTAAGACAGTAGTGGTACGCCAATGGTTTTTTGCCAAACAAAAATTATTCTTGAATTCCCCGTTCAATTTAAAACAAATGATCTCTTGTAAATTGTTTTCCTCCGATGCGCCATTTTCGAGTAAAAAAATAAAAACCGTTCTATTATCCGAGAAAATTAAGGTAATAATAATTGAAGAATGCAAGTTAGCAATAAATATCTAGTTGCTCTGGAATATGTCACTGGCTTTTGACATCTGACAAGTCTATGTTAAATGGGTTAAGGCTTTCGCGGCCAGTTGATAAACTGCTGTCTTGATTCAGGTTTAAAGGCCGTCGTCGGTTGGAATTTCTTCCTAACGTTTCGCTAGCACGAGTGGCAAGCTTCTTCAGAGGTCCTTCCATTTCCGATGCTGGATGTAGACTGACTTTAGACCCGAATCAAGTCAGCAGTTTAAGTCTATGTTATTCAAATCTGTTCGCTGAGACATCTTTTTCATTATTTAGTTTTTACAATCTTATATGGCCTTGCCGACGATAATGGTGAGCAAGCCAGACAGTTTTATCACCAGAGATATTCCGATCGTGCTTTGCCAGATAGCCGAACCTTTTCTAATATTCATCGTCGTCTTGTTGAAACTGGTTCTCTCCGAGAAGGAACATTTGAAGGTTGACCTGAGACGAGTACTAGGAAGATCGTTAGACATTTAAATATTTGCTATCAAATTGTTTGGAGAATTTTAGTGGATTTTTTGTTATATCCTTACCATATTTTAAGAGTACAGGCATTACTTCCCATTGATTTTCTAAGGTGTGTGACCTTTGTGATTATGTTCACGGACAAAACTGATTTTTCTCAAAATGCCATTCAGAATTTCCACAATAAACGGAGATAATAATAGTCTTCTCCACCGAGCTATGCATATAATTTTTTCACTACTATCGATGATACATTTACTTTGATTAGACCTTGGAGTACAGTATATCTTAGAATTTTCTGAACGTCCGACAACACTGGAACACTGTCCGAACGAAATGTGTGGATCACAGAACGATGAAAAGAGGGACGCTGCCGCTAATGATGAAGTCCAACAAAGCTAGTAGGTGCTACGTTGGTCGACGAACATAATTCGTTTCCCACTCATTTCCAAATACTACAATTTATCAAGAAGCGTGGGATAAAGTTGTCAAAGTACTGAGGCAGATATACACAATGAGTAACAACAATTTTAGTTATAATATAGCTTGTAGTGAGCAATGATTATTAGAAACAATTGAAAATGGACTTAGGGCCGATTTCACCAACATTATTATTATGGACCAATAGGAAAATACCTTATCGAAATGCAATTTGACGGAAGCTGTCAATGGTGTCAGAATATCAGTGATTTCTATTAGAATGCTGAATAAAATCGTAAAAATTCGACTATATTAAAACAAGACCACTTTTTGATTCCAACATGATGCTTTTGTATAGAAAAAAACAGGACAACTTTTATGTATTTTGATATATGTTATAGGTTTGCATTTAACAATCCGTTATCCCCTCAGCGAATGGGAATGGGAGAAATAATAGGTCGATTTTCTAGCTGTTAAATTTGGCAGCAGGTTTGGTCGTTTGTTAGTTCATGACAATCTCGAAATTTGTTAAGTGTTAAGGGCCAATGTTACCAAAAAAATTAAGCTGATGAAATCTTAGTCTGTGGACCGAATCTTATTTGCTAGAAACAGTGGCAGATTGAAATGGAAATTTTGCATTGATAAATTTGAAAGTATAAAGTCATGCTTGGGAGAAGATTCAAATGTCTTGACCAGAAGCCGTGTTATTTTTTTTGCAAATTATGAGCCTTTCTTCACATAGGACGTAGCAATGCCATATTCGAAATCAGCATTTCAGTTTTCTCCAGCTTATCGAGTCTTGTTCGCTGGAGACATGGGAGACATAATTGGAAACTAAAGTCATACTATGAAATTCTAGTAATAACAGACTGTATACGATATTATACTACTCTAGGTGCTAGTGCATGCTGTTAACGGAGCATTGATTAGCATATTCCACCTACTTCTACTGAAGTGGAACTCGGGCGTATTTTTTATAGATACCTCTGTGTTATGTTTGCTATTCGATTCGTTCTGAACCGAACTGGAACATTTTTTCATCGGATGCAAGACAGGTATTTAACACTACCGTTTAATATGGATCTGGCAATGGCTATAAGACATGCTCTGTATTACACATCGCCTGTATAGTGTCTTTAACAACTACTCCGAGAAAACTGAGTCAATTGGTGTAAAACTGATGTTTGCTGGTTTCAAGCACGTTTGCTGGTTGGTCTGAGGATCACATCATTTTTAATTGGCATTCGTATTAGATTATCTTAGTGGTGGTTTCAGTATTTATAGATTTTTGGTGTGTATGTAAATACATAAAAGCTAGCGGCTTCAGTGTTAATTGGAAATATTATACTAGTTTCTAATTGATTGACTAAAGTGGATTTGGGTATTGTCACTTCAAAAGTTATCATAAACCCTGGATTGCCTGGTTATCTCCAGCTACCAGTGGTATGCCAGCTGGTAATCATTGTCATTTCATACGATGATGATGTGAGAAAGACTCTATGCCTCTGACTCATAACTGTTCCAAGTTCCGCTCAATTCACAGATCAGATGTCGCACCGCGATAACGGTCGACCCATCTAGCACTTGGAATCATAAGTATTCAAGTTGAAATAGTCATGTTTGTTTCTTGTTTGACGTAGATCTTCTTAGCATAATTTTAGTTATCACCTCAATCAAAAGACTCTGTTAAAAATGGCGAAATTCATGGTTGCTGTTATAGAGCTGGTTACGATACTACGGAGAAACGGAGATGTTCTAAGTGTTAAGTGCACTTACAAAACCAGACAGAACGGATCTGGAAAACATTTTTTGGGAGGGAGTGGACTCATGTTCAGGAAGATATCTATCTTGATGGGGAAGGGGTTTCGGCGATTGAAGCTTAAAGAGCGAGGGAGGGATCGCCGATTCAAAACTGAAGTTTGGATTGCGGAGGAGGAGAAGCGTCTGCAAATTGAAAAACCCCCCTGGATCCGCCACTGAAGACTTTCAAGTACACAGTAGTGCTCGTTGCGGCCAAAACGTCTCTGTGGTCTTGTGATCAAGCTAATATCGGCAGCAATATACTTTATTACGTTAAAAAAATATATTTTTAGTTAGATTATTAGTCGACAGTATGCCAATAACCTACTACTGATCTAGAATTAAGCATATTTACGACATGGTGATAGGGTTGTGATGTCTCTAACCATTTTCTAGAGCCTTTTTTCATCATCAAACTTTGATACAAACTATTGTTACTATGGACGCGAATGCTGTCAAAATTTTGTTCTGACAAGTACGTCTGAGATCCTCGTCCGAACAAGGCGGTTACACTGTGCATGTTTACTCACATCTTGATAGCCAGTACGTTTCTGCCACCCAGCAGATATAGAAGAAGTTGATAAATTTTATTGCTTTGAAGGTCCTTTACTGAAGTATTGTTGTTAAATCGTGGAAGAGCAGAGCATTTCATTGCTTTATTTTCTAGTCGGAACGACAAAGGGGAGTTTGAAATATTATTTGAAGAATTGCTGGACCAGCCACAAAAGTTTTTCAAATATTTTAGGATAACTGTTGAATGTAAGTGAGTGTAATGAAAGTGACAAATAATGTTGATGTTGATTTCTATAGCGACTTTCTTCCATTTTTGCAGAGAAATATGTTTATTATGATAATGGTTGTCTCTCATACAGCGATCTGTTCTCATAGACATGAGTATCAAATTGCCGATGTCCATGGTGAAATAACCGATAAATACTCAAAAGCAACACAGGTCATACTAAATTCCGTCAGAATTCGCATCCACAGTAACCATAGCTCTAGCGTTATAAATTATATGATTTGAGTCTGTAGCATGTTTGTTCTATAGATGTATGCAAAGATGAAGCTTATGACATGCGGTACTATAAGGAAGCCATGATAGTAGGTTATAAGAGAAAGACAGTCATTTAATTTTATGTAAGTGACCTGTGCGACTATCCGATCATACCGCAGTAATTCGTCTGCGGTAAAAAAAACTTGTCACTCAGTTCAGTATTTATTAATTGCAAATTTTATGTAACCGATTTCAAGTCCAATATCGATAAAATAAATAACAGTTGGCAGAGAGTTTGTATCTATTGTGTACCCAGAGAAATTGTTTCATTTTATTCCCTATGAAGTCAGAGAGATATTTCCATATTAACAGTTATAAACAAGTGGTCTAGTTCAAAGTAGTTCTGATAGCAAAAACATAATTTGTGCTATTTAAGCAAAATACAAGCAGAAGGTTTTGTTGATATTTGTCATCAATAGGCGAACTTTTGATATGATTTGGAATTGGCGTCGTTTCATCTCAGTCACAAGTAAACAAACAAAAAGTGACATTTCCCAGTTGCAACCGTATCGAATCGGACGCAGCAACAATTGTGTGTATCTATTGTTCCTTAATTTCCGCGTTTAAGTATTTCTGCGTTTCGTTAACAACCTTATTAAATCAGCCTACTAATTGCGTTGTTGAAAAAAATTTTAGAAATATCCGAAATGTTGACATCATACCTGCACACCACAAACCTCAATAATGTCAGTGGAAACAGATTTAAGACTTTATTCAGTGATT